TCAGCTCCCTGGCCAGGGCTGGAACTGCATGCCACTCCTTTTGCAGTGGCTGGTGATACCTTAATAGTGCTGAGACTTAACACTTGCACCACCAGAAAGACCCCCAAGATTATCAGTTATTAATGATATTATTGAAATATTACTTTAGTTAGTCTATATTATCTACTTTTAGTATAAGGTAAAAATGCTTCCTTGGGTTACCACTACTGAAATTTTCTAGTGTGTACCCTCTTTGTTTAGCTGGTATTTCAGAGAAGAGAACTTTCTACGTAAAAAGTTCTATACACTCTGCAGATACTACTGCATGCTGTCATCCTGTAGAGCATCTCTGAGAGAAGTAGAAGAAAATTAAATTTTACAGTAGTTAGACAAAATGGTCCAAACCTTCCAGCTAGTGGTACTAGAATTTGCACTATAGTCTGCCTTCAAAATTGAACCAAGATCTTTTGCAGACTGCCTCTTTAGAGCAAGATATGAATAGAAGTAAATGGATATATCATAAAGTTGTCAAATGCAGAACTTTTTGTTTGTAGGCTTACCTAAGAACATATTTCTAATATCTTTGGTTTCTATTTTATTTATTTAAATTATCCTATGATAAGATACCATTACAATATAAATACATAAAACTATATTAAGAAATTATTGTATTAATGATTGTCTTATCAAAATGTATATTTTCTTGTTTTTTTTTTAAAGATTTATTTATTTGGCCCTCCCTGGTGGCGCAGCGGGTTAAAGCACAGCACTGAGAAGCTAAAGCCACTTCGCAGAGTTTGATTCCCGCCTGCCCTGGAGGTGACCACATGGCGCGGCAGACCTCTCCTGACCCGCCCGCTGTCTCCCCTCAGCAGTGTACTTCGTAGATCTGCCTGTTCTGCTCCCCACTCTGTCTCTGGTGAAACCTCTTGCCGCCCTTGAGCCTCTGGCCTGTACCCCAGCTCTGTATGCACAAATAAATAAATCTTAAAAAAAAAAGGATTTATTTATTCATACAGAACTGGGGTACAGGCTAGAGATGCGGAGGGTGAGAGGATTCACCAGGGACAGAGTGGGGAGCAGAACAGGCAGACTGACAAAGTTCACTGCTGAGGGGAGCAGTGGACGGGTCAGGAGAGGTCTGCCACACCTTGTGGATCTCCTCCCAGACAGGCAGGGATGGAACTCATCCGGAAGTGGCTTAAGCTTCTTAGTGCAGTGCTTTAATCCGCTGTGCCACAAGGGAGGGCCCACCAGTGTATATTTTCTTTAAAATCAATTAATAGTATTAGCTATCCTAGATATTGTTTCTATTACTGTAGAAATAAAAGAGAAGACAGAGTAGTTTTTAATTTCAAAGGACTTAAATTCATTAATGACAGAGGAAGCTAAGACAATTTGAAACAAAATCAAAAATAAAATAAGAAGCATACTAAAAATATATGTTGCTCTGGGAGTTGTAAAAATAACTAAGAAATTCATTGCCAGAGTGGGGCTTAATGAATAGGAAATATTGAATACTAAGAGGGAAAGAATAGGTAGAATGGAATTCATTGTAACTCCTGTCCATCATGTCTGATGGCAAGTAGCCTCTTGCTTGACATACAAGGTGCTTGAAATGGGGTGTTAAGGGTGAAGCTGAAAAAGGAGGAGGAGGTTAAACAATGGATTGCCTTGAAAACCAAGCTAAATTGTTCTTACTTAACTGTGGAAGTCATCGGTAGTTTTTGACCTGGCTAACTACATGTTAAGTTGCTCTGAGACTGGTTGGTAGAATTGATCAGATTCAATAAAGAGGAGACTCTTGAGATTTTCTGAGCAAGAAATAGCTTTATCTGAACCAGAAAAATAACAATGGACATGGAAAGAGGAAATGGATAGGAAAAGCAATTCTGTAATAAAATGTATGGGTCATAGAATTTGAGAGTTCAGGAAAGGAGGAAGACTCAGCACACCAGAGAAATTTTCAGGACAGAGTCAAGATGGAAAACTCATGAGAATGTGGGCAGGCATCTCATGAGGTCAGTTTTCAGGAAAATATTCAGTGTTTTAAAATAACGTAGTGTTTCTAGAGTGGGTGATAACTGTATTTTCTTTATTTTAGCTAACTAAGGAATGAATCTATATTAACTGAAGAATGCTTTTATCATGGCAGAGATTATACAATTATGCCCAAAAGTAGAGTCAATTATACTTTTAAGGAAATTTTAAGTTTTAATGGAAATTCATACTAATATCAAAATATCTAATGGCTTTAGATCTTTTCAATGCCACTAATAAAAAATTCTGGTGTGATAAACACTATTGCTATTATAATGAATTACACTTTATCTTTTTCATGTCTATTGGTGATGAAGGATAGAATATATTTTGTCCTTAACCACTAATGTCTATCTTAATGAGAGAACACAGGGTGCTTATAAAATAGAGTATTTTTCAATGGGAGGTAAGCTACTGGTAAGGAAACGTAAATAAATACAAAATATGCCACCAGCAATTATGTACCTAAATCATGAACCTTAATCAAGGCTTACTATATGCTAGGATCTGTGGTTTGCCTATATTATTTTATCTAATATGTAGTTCATATTACATATTCATAGTAATTAAGCTTGCATTTGGTTCTATATCAATCTTCACTTTACAGATGGGGCATCTAGGATTAGATGATTTAATTAATTTTGTCCAAATTAAGCATCTGTAAGAATTTCTGGTAAGGAAGACAGCTGTGGTGGTAATCTTAAAGGGCAAATGAATGAATTCAGTATAAATTTAGGTGTGACACCAAATAGCCTGGTGATTGATATGAGATTAATTACATTTAGGACCAAGTGTTATATAGGCTAGCTCTAATGTTTCTGCTGTGTAAATTAAGTATAAGGTTGTTCCATTTTTCTGACATAGGGAATATATAAGGAATATATGTGGGAGAGGAAATGAAGAGTTTGAACTTAAGCACACTGACATGAATGTGAGATATTCAAGGGTGTCCATTTAAAGGACTGCTGATTATGAGGATCCAGAAGCTTATAAGACAAGGATGAACTGGAGAAGAAGCTTTTGGAGTCATCAGTTATGAATTAATCATTTAAAGATATGACTGGGTACATAATATTGGCCAAAGAGCCTCTGTGGGAGAAAGGATAAAAAGGCTATGTGTGACACCCAAGGGAATACCAGCAATCAAGGGGAGGGAAAAGTGGGACTTAGAGAAGACTGGGAGTAGTGTCCAGAAAAGAGAAACTCCTCAGGGCACACATGATTTCATTTTAGAATTCAGTGTCACATCTTTGTGAAATAGCTATTATGGTATTGCACTGCCCCTCTTCTTTTCTCTGTCTTCAGTGTATTATATGGCACAGTTTTCATATCCTTTGAGAGGAGAAAAGAAAATTCATTGAATTTGACAGTTTTTTATTGATTAATAAGGGTATGTGTTTACTTGTCCATAAGTTTATAGGTAACTTTTAGTAGAAAGACAGGATACATTTTGAAAATTGCAAACATTTAATTTTTGTATAGCCCTGAGAGGTTGGGGCAAGGGGACACAGGGCATATTTTTGTTTTGTCTTGTAATTCTACTTTTATCTCAGGGGTTATTTATAAATAAGGCCGATAGTAACTTCCAAAGGCTTATGTAGCTCTGTCCTTACCCAAATAGTACAAGTAGGAGAATTAATGTAAAATATAAACACCTTTGTTAATAGAAAATTCTGCTATAGGAGTTATATATGCAATAACAATGAATTGACAAATTGACTCATGTTTCCATAGACTATTTCATAAAGTATTGGTTGATTTGTTTCTTAATTTTTATGTAGTAAAAGCATAGTTATTGTGTAAAAAACAACAGTATAAATCATTATTGTCAATTCTGTTATGTCAGTCAACTATGAAAAAACCTAAATGATAATAAATAACATATTCATCTTTGATGAATTTGGATATGCATATTAACTGGACTAGATTTTCTTTTCTCCAAAATATAATTGAGAGAAGTTTTTTTTTTTAAGATTTATTTATTTGTGCATACAGAACTGTGGTACAGGCCAGAGATGCAGGGGTGGTGAGAGGATTCACCAGAGTGGGGAGCAGAAGAGGCCGACTGACAGAGTACACTGCTGAGGGGAGTGGTGGGCGGGTCAGGAGAGGTCTGCCACGCCATGTGGATCACCTCCAGGGCAGACAAGGATCGAACTCATGTGGAAGTGGCTTAAGCTTCTTAGTGCTGTGCTTTAACCCACTGTGCAACCAGGAAGGGCCCCTGGGAGAAGTTTTAAGGTGAAATAAAAAAAAAAAAAAAGGAAAAATGTTCTTCATAGACATGTTGAAAAGTAAGTCAGAAATATTAAAGAAAGTTTTAGGGAAATAGAGGAAGTTGGTCAATGAAACCATGAATAAGTACAAATTTCCAGTGGGTTCTAGTTTTAAATCTGTAGAGCCGAAACTGTTCAATTGTTTTAGAACTTAGGCCAAACTGAGGGAGAGTATCATGATTATCTGTAGTACTGTGAAATCATGGGCTACTCTGTAACCCATGGTTGACCTAATCCATGCTTCTAGAGAATTACTTGTATTACCAACATTTTGGTATGCACTTTCCTGATGTAAATTATGATCTACAATGAGTAATTTAGCATAATGGACAGTATTTCAAAGTACTTTCAAAGAATCTTCCCTAAAGCAGTATTTTTTAAAGATAGACCTTCTGATATTATATGTCTCTGTTGTTTAATTAATATCCTATGTTAATTATATGCTTTTTTAACATGTAGATGGAAATGTTCTTGATTTTATTTGTATAAAACTTTATATTAAATACATTTTAGAATTCTATAATTGAACTCTAAGCATTTATAATTAAAAAAATTAAAGTCATTGAAGGAATTACCTTATTTATTATTTACCTAACAACTTTAGTCTTATTCATTGATTTCACTGTGTTAGTAGTAGTTTTTATGGGGGGATAAATGGGCTTGTTATGTTTATATTTTAAAATCTGATTTTCTTGTCTGTTATAGGTTTTATTGGGATTTAATAATGCTTATAATGATGGTTGGAAATCTGGTCATCATACCAGTTGGAATCACATTCTTTACAGAACAAACAACAACACCATGGATTATTTTCAATGTGGCATCAGATACAGTTTTCCTTTTGGATCTGATCATGAATTTTAGGACTGGTACTGTCAATGAAGACAGTTCTGAAATCATCCTGGACCCTAAAGTGATCAAGATGAATTATTTAAAAAGCTGGTTTGTGGTTGATTTCATCTCATCAATCCCAGTGGATTATATCTTTCTCATTGTAGAAAAAGGAATGGATTCAGAAGTTTACAAGACAGCCAGGGCACTTCGCATTGTGCGGTTTACAAAAATTCTCAGTCTCTTGCGTCTGTTACGACTTTCAAGATTAATTAGATACATACATCAGTGGGAAGAGGTAAGATATCTTTTACTGTTTTAAAGCCACTATATCATAAGATTGTTTACTAAAATTGTGTTTAAATGAACAACTGTGCTATGTGTAATGAGTTTTATACTGTTCAAGGAAAAAAATATTCTTTTTTGGCACATAAGTGATTTGTATTAGTATATTTGAAAGATATGGTTAAGTACTAGATTTGAATCAACTGAGGAATTAATGAATATAAAATAGTTGGCTTTATGCAAAACAATAAAAAATCCACTTTAACAAAATTTTAAGCCAATGATACAAGATATAACCCCTCTTCCACTATTAGATTTTTAAAAATCTTACATGAATATATCACATATCATCTTTAACAAAGGTGGGTAGTATCTGCTAGTGTACTTTGTGTCACTAGATCTGAGTATATATGTAATATATTTTTATTATTTTTGAATATTTCCAAGTTGTATATGTAAACACTGATCTTAGCATAATAATTTTGTTTTGCTTTGCCTATACTTACTTACTAGTGTTTTTCCTTATTAATTCATTTCATAATAATGAAAAACAGTATTCAGGAGAGATATTATTTCATAGAAAACACAGATAGTACAGTTTATCAAATATGGTGCATTTGGCCAATATGTTGTTAAATAGGCCTCTGTTCTTAGGAAGTTGGTGGGACCTGAAAGGACTCACCCAACTGGAGTTTCTGAATAACTGAGTTAAATGTTCCTAGTTCCAAAGTCTGTATATTACTCTTTTGACTTTCTTTCCATCTAAATTTATCTTTTTTAAATTAGTTATAACCTGAATTTTATTGCTTGCATAAAAATGAGTGTCAAAAAGATCTCCATAATGCCTTACCCTGTACTAATAAGAACAGTATGCTGGCTGTGAATGAACTGTCCCTTTACTCATTACAAAAATTCTTTTCAGCAGTTTCAGTTGGAATTACATCTTGGAATTTAGGTTTAATAAAAATCATAAAATAGAACTTTTTTGAACATAAACTCTAATTTCTATGAGGCTATGACGATTTTTTGGTGTATGCTTGTCAGTGACATTTTGGTTCACAGGATCTTAGGAAATGACATACAGAAATAAAAACTACAGAAGACTTGCTGAAAGGCATAAAAATGAATCATTCTTAAAATATGGATATGGATTATATTTAAAATCAAATGAAGCATACTTGAGAAATTGGATTCATCTAGTAATGTGTCTCTCTATAGCATACTCCATCTAAATTATAATGTTTGGTTGTCAAGACATTTTACCAGTTTTATATTAACATCAAACCATGATGATTATTGATAATATTAACTAATATATATTGAGGCTTACTATATGTCATTATGTATTTCATTATTTCCATGATTTAGTTTCCTTTAATCTTCCTGTTTCTCTGGTAACTTGCTAGGTTGCAGTTAGCAAAAGGTAGACCTTGGCAATCTGACTTCAGAAACAAAGCTTTTAACACAAAACTGGAAAACATCACTACAACATGCATTTTTTTCATGCATGTTCGACCTCCTTTCCATTTCCATTTACTTCTTAAATTAGTTATAGCCTGAATTTTATTGCTTGTATAAAAATTAGAATAAAAAATCTTTTAATTATAATTACCTTACTTTTAATGATATACCTTACTTTTCAAAATTAAGATTGTGGTCCATCTAACATAGGGAGTGAATATTTATCTCTAAAAACATAGTCACAAAAATTATTTTCACAAATACTCTGTGAGAAGAAAATACACTGATAAAAATACCCAGTGAATTAAAAATGCAGCGGGCATTGTGGCTATTTTTATTGTTTTATAGTTTATAGTTTAACCCAATTTCCCTTGAGAATTGCAGCAGAACGACCAGATGGCCTCCTGTCAGGTAAAATGGAGATCATGTGGTCAGAGAGGAGGATACTACTTAACAGTGATGTCCTCTCTTTCCTGGCAGCGGTCAGAGGCACCTAGATCTGTGTAACATGATGCTGTTTTAAAGATGCCATGATATTATTCAAAAGCATCAGCTCACTGCTAGCCTTTCTGAAAAATGTAATTTAATATGCACTCACAGATATTTGGTAATCAAACACATTGAAGACAGACTTGTGAGTTGGCAAGATTTTTCTTATAAATAAATGACCTTGATAATAAAGAAGCTCCTTTGAGTGAAGAATATACTTTTGGTTATATGATACCCCAATGTAACATCACTTACATAATGGATATAGAATATCTGTTAGTAATAACTTTCAAACCAGGAAAATTAGCTATAATTAATCCAAAATTTAATGCAGATTTATTATTTTATCACTCACACAGTTTAAGCCAAAATAGAAAAGAATCTTGAATAACTCCAAATTGTTAAGTCCCTACCTGATTTTTATAAATGCTACCAGGATATGTTTACAAGTGGAAGTACAACACAAATAAATCATAGAAGTTGTTTGGTGAAGGTTTGGAATAAGACTGCAGAGGAAGATGTGAGTTCACCCACATGTCTTTGAGTTCTGAATGTTTTAGTCCCAAGCTGGTTAATGCTAAATTCAGCAAATTTGGGGAAGTAATGTGTGAAGTCTGGAAGCTGCCACTGTTCTAAATGAATCATTCCCAAGAAAAGTGACTGCTTTCTATAGGAAACTGCTTCTATCTTCAATAATACATTTTTCTCCAGTCTGAATTAGTTCAACTGAAAAACAACAAGAAGTGCCAAAGCCAGATAAATTGGAGAAACATTGTGAATGAAATACGGAAACTTTAAAATTTAGCCCTTATGTTACTATCGAGTTGAATGTAGTGGCTAACACAGGAAAAGAGCTGACTTGACCAACTAATTTATGAAACACTTGGTGTTGAGTTGTCAGGAAGAAAGTTGTTTTCATGAAACATTTGTAAGATCAATGCTTTTCATATGCAAAAATAGAACTCTCTGAATTCTGAAAATATATTATTTTCAGGTGAGGCAAAAATCTGGGGCAATTAGATAAATCAGGCCAAAATATTCCTCTTTTTTCTATTCTTCAAAAACATAGGTAAATCTTTCCAATTACTTGTATTTTTGATTTTCTAAATTCAGCATTATTATTATTATTGTATTTCAAGTTAAGATAGTGAACCAAGCCAAAATATTATTTTGGAATCTGCCACAAAAGGAACTAATTCTCTGTGATCCTTCTGAAAGATTCACATGGTGAGTAAATCCCCCCAAATTAAATAGAATATTATTAATAATTTGTCACAGTCACAAACCACTGAGTAGAATAAATTGTAAATTTAGTGATAAAGAGTGGTTTTATTCAGTTTGTCAAGATGAAGAGTTCTAGCAACATGAATGCTGCATTTGATGTTCCTACTCATTTTATCAAAGAGGGTGATGCTTGACATTAAAAAAATTAGGGGATAGTAACTGAAAACAGGAATACTGCTCTGTAATAATTATCTATTTGTAGTATTCAACGTCATTGAAACATAAATTCTTCATGGGTAATGTAAAAAATTATGTTAAATGCTTGATGCTTACATTACAATTATGACTTTAGAATACTTCACCTAGCATTTCATATTCTGCTCTTCATTTACTACCCCCTTAATGTTACCTGTGTAGATTTGTGTAATGAGATTTCCTCACTAACATTTTGAGGAAAGAAAAGTACACAAGTTTCTGACCTTTGTGGATGGATGGGTTATCTGACAGATAGCAATTGTAAGTTAATATAGATAGAAATTTTAGAATTTTATAACAAATTCTTGAATTTTACAATTCTCTGTAGGAGTCAGTATTAGGTTTTCATGTTGACTTAGAGATAGATTTATATGTAAATTATGTTTAACAACCAATATTAATAAGGGAATTTATTTTATGGGCATCTAATACAGATCACACTTTCTGTCTTTAGTTAATTTTAGTATTCTAATGAGTTAGGTTAGAAACTAAGTCTTGCTATAAATTGCCTATCTAGAATCATACAATTCATATTCTAACTACTTTCATGTTCTAGAAAACACACAGAATTCTAAGACTTGCCAATAGCAAACAGCAGTATTTTCCTAATTTGCTCCCTACCAGTACTTAGTGAGGCTCCTGATGGCCAGTCATATCAAATCTGTGTTTCTTCACTGTGCTTCTACAGCAGACTTTGCCCTGATCTCACCACTCACTTCATATTTGCTTCCTGGCAACTCTTTTCTGTTTGATTTTTAGTTTTACATTGCTTCTTCAGAGGATAAGTCTCTTATTTCTCTAATTTTGTATGTTCTGCACCTGATGTTCGGAAAACATTTATTTTCTATCACTCACTTAAAAACTTGGTTCAAATTCATCTCCAAAAAAAAAAAAAATTCCATATTGATGGGCTGTAGGCCACAGGATGGTTAGTACCTTTTCTTTGAACAAGTCTACTTGCTCTGCCTGCATTTGTTCATATTGAGAACTTTGATTGCTAAAGTTTACGTACATGCAATTTGCTTTTCCTTGACTGGAAGTAAATATCTATAGGGAGGATTCAGTGTCAATCTTGAATCTTCTTGTACGTTATAACAGTTCTAAACATAGAAGATTTTCTGATCGCATCTTGCCACTAAATATATGACAAAATAAAATCAATAGATAGCTATCTTCCATTTTCTAAATCTGTTGAACAATTTCAAGGGACTAGTCAGTCTTCACTTCCAAGCATTTACTGAATAGTTTCTGAGTACAAATGCTTCACATGAGAATACAAAGCATATCCCAGCTTTGTAAGAAAAATGGATCAGTAGCAAATCATTGTAGATGGTGGTGTAAGTGGTAACATAAAAGGAGGGGTGAACAACCACCTTTTTATTTTTCACATGATCAGAGAGCTTCAGAGATACTTAAACTGAGATTCCAAGTTGGAGTTTGGATTACCAAAATTAACAAAATAGATCAGATGAGTGTGTTTTGATATGACATGAAGTGCAGGTAGCCTAGTTTAGTAGTTTTGTATTTCCAGAACCTGAGCAGTAGAGGATATGAATAAAAGGACAGAAATTTGTGTGAACATTG